TGATAAAGGTCTTCTCATAAATAATCTTTAGATAAGATTTTTATAATTTTTGGACTTATTTAAAGTCTTTATATTCTTAAAGTGGCTTTAGTTGCAATTTTTTGTGTAAGGGGTATTTTGGGAAATTAAATTTTCTGTAATGTTTCTGTAAGTGAATAGTTCTGTACAAACAGAATTATTCAATATTTTATACCAAATTTGGCCCCTCATTTGAGATATCCTTAACAATTGTTGTTCCTTCAACTGGGAACAAAAGCTTTCATTCTTGAACAGTAGATTGAATTCATATATAGGGATTTTTTATCCCTATTTGTGGTGAAGTCTAGGTGCAGTTGTAGGAGTGATGGTAGAATGAGCTTGGTTCTACAAAGGAAATCAAGAAAGCTAAAACGAATGAAGTTATTGGTTGTTCTTGATTATGTTTACTTTTTGTTTTAAATTGTAATTTTAAAGTTTGAGACGATTATGTAAAAAAAAAAAAAAAATACTCCACTACTCTCTTTTTCACACTTTATCTTATGTAAATCACTACGTAACTCCTTATATACAAGTAGCATTATTATTTTTATATACAAGTTAACAATTTCACTCTCTGTCTCTGAACATCATATGATTGACAATTAAAGTAAAACCTTCATTTGCTGTCAAAATTAAAAGGCCAAGTAAAGGGACAAATTGAAAACAAGAATTGATTCTCCCAGACATCGGCCAAACATAATTTTTCAATAAAAAATTATATATGCAATATTACTATCTTTTTATATCGATCCAAAATCTAAAAAAGGTAAAAACTAGTTTGATTTGGGTGGGTTACCTTTTTTCTATGGATGATGGATTATTTGGGTGGGTTGAATTTTTCATTGGAATGAGAAATTCTTTTATTTTTTGTATTTTATATTATTAGATTAATCTTATTTTTAAAATATCAAATCAAACGAGATTTGAAATAGTGTAAAAAGAATTAAAAATTGACTTTCACCGATATAGAAGAGTAATATAAATTAATTGGATATTAGTATATAACAGAGAAATTAATCTCTTAAACTCCGGTCCTTGTTAAGTATCAATTGACGTGATACACTATAATATCGATGTACCGTATCATGTCACCAAGCTTGGTATAAGTTAAATATCGATGCTTAAAATATCAATCCTGCTTGGCGGAGTACTATAAATTAATTGGACAAATTTGTTTTATTGTCAGCCCCGTTCAAACACGAGCATGTGTAGAGCGCTATAATTATGAAAAATGCTGTGTGTACACAAGCATGGTGTACATACGGCTTTACACCTACCTCAGATGGAGGGGGCCCACAAATATTTTATTATATGTGGACCCTCCTTCATGTGAGAGATATAAAGTCGTGTGTACACCATTATGTACACGTAGCATCTCCGCGGATAACTATATAGCAAAATGCCAAAAGATAAAGAAAAAAATCAGGCTAGGGTTTCCTTGGACCCTGTTCCTTCTCTAAATCTATTCGTGCATTTTATGTATAATAACTTTTTGTATATATTTGGATCGATTAAAGCCGGACGGAAAATAGGGTTTGGTGAATTAGGCTGCCGTGACTGTTAATAAAACGGTATAAGAGGATTGAATTTTAAAGATAGGCATATATATATTTGTGAATCGAATCGAACGGAACCGGATATTTGTAAATATGGAAGGATCGAAGAAATCAAAAAGGGTTAATTGGGCTTCAGATGTTAGTCTTTGTCAGGTAAATCCTCTAAAGGAATTTATTCTTGTTAATGATTTTTTTTAATCCAATTTCAGTATTGAAACTATAAAAATAGAAAGATGGAGTTTTTAAATTGAAATATATAATGGATGGTAAGTTGAGATTTTGATGATTTTAAATTAGTTTATGAATTAAAATTAAATGGAGAAATGTTGGTTTTGATGGATGAATTGAAAGGCTAGTGCATTTCTTGACATTGCACGTTAATTCTTTCATTTAAATATTGCTTGATACAAGTAATAATCACTTATTTAGAATAAATTTTAAGATCGATAGAAATTAATAATAAAGGGTGAGAAAGAAATAAGGAATGTAATTCCTTTATGGAAGTTTAGTGTCAATATAAACAATGAACTTTGTAAAATGAGTTTTAAGCTGAATCAAAAAGTCAGTAACCTTGAATGATTTATTTATTTTCTCTTTTTTTAATCTCAATATTGTATTCTGATGTTTGTACTGAACATTTCGTAGGTGATGAATGTGAGAAATAGACTAGTTAGCAACGTTACCACGTGCAATTGTTGTCACGTGTTATAGAACCGATTATTGATTATATTTTCTGAGGTTGCATGACTGATGGTGATCTCAAAATATAAGGATTGAGATTGAACATAAAACCACATGGAATTTGTGAAGATTGTGGCCCCTTTTCTAGTTTGAGGACTCGAGGGTGATGGAAACTCAAGAGAAATATAACGTGAATGACTAGAAGGTTGTTGTTTCTAATGGTGGAACTGACAATGGATCAACGTAAGTGGAGCAGGAGGTTCTTCAGATATAAACAAGCCAATATTTGTGTTAGTTTTACTATGTTCAGAGGATACGACTAACGTGCAGCAATATGTAGAATGATTGGTTTAGTTTTTGTCAGTATATACGGGTGGTGTTAAATCATGAATGATCTTGAGATGTCTCATTACATTTGACATCTGTTGTTTGATAGAAGCGAAAATGTTGACTCAATTTTTCTCTTTAGGAAAGCAGAGAAAAAGTTGAAGAAGTGAAGGATATAAGATTGCCATCAGTGATACAACAAAAGAGATTCATTTGGTCTGATGTCATTGATTGAGGAAACTATTTATGATTTATTGATTTATGAGAAGGTATGACCAAGACCACTCTATGAAAATGAGAGTAGCCAACAGAGGATATGATGTGAAAAAGGAGGCGAAGGATCATAGTTCCAACTGACATTTATTTTTCCTTCTCAAATGGACTGGTCACCATTTTGGAAAAAATGATGAACTTTTATTGTTTTCTTTTCCAGAGAGAGGCTACATTAACCAGTTGCTTAAGTAATGGAAAGCAGTGTCACTGCTATTTCTAGATTCATTTGAAGTGGAAATTAAATAGTTTTATTGATGATGTTTCGATTGGTACTTCAGCTAGTTAGTCAATTTGGTTTACATCTAGTTGCGGATCTTTCACTATCTGCAATGCTAGTTCAAGTCAATAAGCTAAGGATGATTCGTGTAACTGACCCAACATCTTGTCATGATTTTTGTTTGACCTCCAAAATTTAGAAAAGGGTCATTTTCACTTATTTTGATGTTGAATAAGCATATGCACCTTGAAATTGTTCTTTGTGCTTAGAGGATAACCTTTTTCTGGTTACACCCTTCTTGTCTCCATTTTATTGGCCTTTTGCAGTATCAGATAATTGTTGCATGAAAATTTGGTCATTGCTTATTCTGGAATTTAGGCCGAAATGATCTGATGCACACAAGGAAACATCAATCACTTACCTCTCCTTTTAATCTTCTGAAGTGGCTCAACTGTAAAACAATAGACAGATTCTTTTGAGGTCTAAGATGGAAGTGAGTATTACATGTATTTTATACATGCCAATTCAAACTGTGTTATTAACTTCTTATAAAACTGCTAATTCCTCTCTAGTTGTAACTGTGTGGATTAGAAGTTAATCCCATGTTGATCATTTTTAATTCTCAGATCATAGGAATGTTTTAATTTGAGAAGTCTCCCTTGTGGTATAATATCATTTGGTGAAGTTTCTCGGTGTTGATAATGGCTTAGTTATTTTAAACAACTTAAGGCTAACTTGAGATGGTGAACAGCCATGGTGGCTAAATAATGCCCATATCCCAGCTTGGACAATTTCTGTATCTTGGGTTTCACATACATTTGGCTAGGTGGCTGATGAATATCCTAGGGTATAATTTATAGGAGGGCGATTCTTTCGTCAAATATTGATTCCTCATTTAACTTCTCTTATTTTATTTCAATTTACGCTCTATACGTTCTGTTGGGATACATTGTCAATTGAATTGTAAATGTTGATGAATATTAGACATGTAGAAGGCACACTTGAAAAGTTTAGTTGGATGATCAAAATGAGGGAAATGGTGTAGTCTGTTGATTTAAAGTATCTATATGTTTTATAACCTCCTTTCGGTGATTATTAGAATTTTTTAACACTGATGAAGCCTTAGACTTGTCTGAGTCATATCTGAAAAGTTGAATGGTGATAATCAGCCACATAATAAAGTTTATAGTATTTCAATGTGTTGTGCTTTTCTTAATATTAAGAACAAGATGTGTTCCCGACATTTGGTACGGTAAGTGATTTGAAATGAATGAAAGGTACAATGAGTCAGTTGAAGCAAAGAAATTCAATGGGTGTATTGAAGTTTCTTGATTTCTGATGCGCTTTACCTTTTCTATTCGTGCATCAGTATAATTTCAATATCACTGGACATATCAAATCAATCGTCTATATTATTCAGAAATACATTGTATTTATACTTAAAAGTTCAAGAAATTGCTAGCGACTGACACCAAACTTTTCCAGTTGGAGCAGTTGGGGTCCCAAATCAATATTTCTTTTTGTTTAGATCACAGACGTTCATTTTTGGTGCAAATTGATTCCGACTGGATGGAGAGTGTTTGTTTTTCTGTTAAACTGTCACATAGAGAACCCCAGGATTCATGAATCGAGGAAGAGGAAATACTTGATTTTAACAAGAGGGGTGGAGGGGAGGGGTAAGGCTCTCCTAAATTGAGGGGGTTTTCTCCGTGGGTGGAGGTGGGCAATGGAGGAATTTGATGACAATGTCTCGCAAATTGATGAAAACAATTCTTTTGTCCCTTTCTTTTTAATTTTTCAAGTGCCTTTCGAGAAATATGAAGGATTGATGAAAATAACCCTGCCATAAGTGGTCATGTGAAGGGTAGGTGACATTTTACCTTAATTTTTGGCGGTTTCTGTCTAGTGGGGATCAACTTGCACATAAAATGGAGGTTTGAGGATCTGAATGTCAAGAAATTTTGATTGTGACCTAAGTTCTCCACGTGGCAAAGTTCGAGTACAGTTGCTGTAAATTTTAACCAAAAATTCCTAACAAAAATAGATAGTTTCCTAAATAAAAATGGAAGTGATTACAAAGAGCCAAGTGATTGGGCTTGAAGTTTTTTACATGTTCGAGATGTTGCTTAAGAGAAATACAGACAATGACATAAGTCACATAACCTCTCCCAATTCTCTGTACCGATGATGAGCATCAACAAGCTTACAATTTTCATTACCTGGAGCAGTTTTTGTCACTCAACGTGTAAATGGTTAGGAAAGGCTTAGAACAAAGCAGCATGACACTAATCACTAGGTAAAGGCATGAGGTCAATAGTTTAGCTATGATAAAAGTCATGGATGCCAAATTTCTATAAGCAAACTCAAAAGTGTAGTTAAAACAAAATTATATTACCAAGCTTTTCACCAAATAAGCATAAGTCCCCAAGATTACTATTAATAGTTTGCGTGGAAAACAGATGAATATTTTTGTGTGGTTCCCAACACTTTCAAAAATACTGGCACTTGACATTTCTATCAAATATAAATACAATGGTAGAAGGCTACCCTTGCCATTAGCAATTTCCCGGAAAATAATTAGCCATATGGAAGGCCGTCAAGTTTTGGAACAGAGAACAAAGTGTCTTAAGAATCGTGGCTTCTAACAGCTATGGACAATATTAGGGTAAAATTCATGCTAATATCATGTCATTTAAAGGGTATGTGGAACTATGACTGCTGCATATAACACAATATTTTGTTTATTAGCCTTACTTTACTTTCTAGTAAGATATTGAAACTTGATTTTGGTAACGTCCCATTTCAGATAAACCTAATAGAATTTGTCCACTAAAGATAGATCTTCTCCAGATAGAATCCTGATTTGCTATCCTTTGTATAGCTGTTGATTACTGCTGGATCTGTTGCTGAAGGTTAAGGACTGATTTGGCTGGTTCTACTGATGATTCAAATGATTGCTGTTGCTAAGTGTATGATGTTCCGTCTACTGTTACCGGTAGCCTTATGCCTCTGTTGTATCACCAGAAAATAGAGGATGAGCAATATTGTAATATGAGCAGTTGTAGGATGTAGATGAATATGA